CTGGACACAGCTGCCTCCAGCTGGTAAGTCTGTTGTGCTGGCTGAAGTGGGGAGGGAAGGAGTGTTGGGGAGCAGATCAATGCTCCCACAGCAAGGGAGAGATTGGGGCTGGGGCTGGGACAAGATGCCCAGCTGGGGTGGGTGGGTGCGGGACTTGGGGAGGAGGGCTTCCGCCGATGCATGCCACATGCACCACCGGTCCGGAAGGGCATGGGGACGGGCATGTGCACCCAGATGTGTGCTGGGTGGGTTGGGCCAGGCTGTGCTACAGGAGGCTAGCGCCAGCTGCCTACCACCAGGCTGCGCTCCGCTTACCAGCTGGAGGCAACTATATCCAGCATGGTGAGGCCTGCTGCCTGTTTTGTCTATGGCTGAATCTCTGAATTGGCACCAAATCTTCAGATCCCAATCAGCCAAATCGAATCAGGACAGTGATTCGAATCACCAAATTGAATTGCTGTTCCTTTAAATCAGCCAAATCCAAAGCAAATACTTGCTGCTTCACACAGGTCTAATCCCTACTATAATTTTCCCAAGTACACACAGCTGTCTGTAGAAGAAGCATATTTGTAAGAGCTAGATTGCAACAGCCAGTGGCTTGCAGCATGCTTTTGGTTTCCCACTCCCAAAACTTCATTTTCCAGACTTAAGTATAGGAGGCTTCCTACCAACTCTCGAGGGCTGAGGGAGGGCAGGAGAAAAGCTTTAAACATGTCTGAGGCTTTGAGGGGAAGGAACCTTGGTCTGTCTGTCTTCCACGTACTACTTCAACTATTAAATTTAACAAAAACCTTACCCTTGAAAATCTTAATATATGCAGAATATTTTTGGAAACTGATTTTTAAATCAGTGGCAGGTCCTACAATGGCCCAGGATTTTTTTCAGAGAGATCCAAGATCTTGTATATATGGATTTATAGAGGAGCACCTGAGGATGAAGGTAGATAATGGAACTGCAGAGAAGCCTCCTGCCACGTGTGATATGCCCCTTTTAGCCAGCCCTCCCCTCCCCAACCCTTGCCCTTACACCCACATTTATACAGTGCCAATTATCACTCCTTTCAAGCGGTTATAACTGTTTTTCATAGAAATAACATTTTTTAAATAATAAAGATATCTCCCTTTAAATTATATACTACTTATTACCTTTAATATAGAAATGATATACATGACACACTGGTTTCTCTTCCAGACATGCAGAGCAGTTCTTTAAAACTGTTCCCAAGTTTTGAGCAAAAAGCAATGCTGTTAAAGCGTCAGGCTTTTGCTGTCTTCAGTGGAGAGATTGATCAGTATCACCTTTATCTTCCATTGATACAAGGTAAGATTATTTATTTATAAAAGGTACATTATTTAAATACGCCATGTTCTCCTTAGGGCACAGACAGAAGTTAGCTCCCCGCTGTAACTCAGAAAGTTTTGCAGGAAGTGTTCTGAATTACAGGGATCCCTCAGACCAAACAGAAGTTCACTTTTGGTTCCAGGAGGGAGGGGAATCTAGCTGGTGGCTGGGAGCCTGCAGCCAGTTTCCCTGAGTGACAACCTTTCTTCCCTGCCAGATCATGCTGTTTGAAGAATAGGAGGTGTTAAGTCACGAAATGGGATTCAGGACTAGTGTATAAAGGATTAACGTGACAGATTGTTCGACGAATGACAAAAAGGCTTTATTTACTACAACTATTCACTATTAAATGGGCCTAAAGCAAAGCAAACTCCAGTATATTTAGCTGTAAAAGTGTTAGTATCTCACCAATATAGGCAGAGGTGGTTTCAGTCTTGTCAGCTTCTCAAGACATGGATGTGTTCACCAGGAGATCAGCTGAGTGCACTAGCACTTCCTGTGAGAGAGCCCATATGGAAAATTTGTCTTCCAACATATAAACACAAGTTAATTGCAAAGAAATATTTATTATACTAATCAATCAAGGATAGACATTTCACACAGTTACATGCTAGGCACATAGAAGCCCGCGTAAAATCACTATAAATATAGTAAGATAAGCTGGAAGTGATGTCTCATTATTTCTTTTCAGAAGGTCCAGCCACAAACTTACATCCTCTTGCACTATACAGTTGTCATCAATATTTTGTATTTTAACTTTGAGTAGGCCCAGTTCTGCTTTAGTTTCCCAATCATCAGAGGGAGGAAAGAGAGCAGAGGGAGCTCATTCTAGGGGTTTCCCAGCTGGCATTGGAGGGTGGGGTGGGTGAAATGGAGCCCCCCTCCCTTCCCACCTGGGATGGGAGGGAGGTTCCAGTACACCTGCCTCCCTCTCCAGCAGGTGCTGAAGAAACCCCAGACCAAACTCCCTCCTGTTCCCATTCCCCAGTCCTATTCTGAAAGAAGTGACAGGCTGGGAGGTAGCACAGACATAAGTTACAGAAGATGCTATATTTTGAAACATTTTCATTTGAACTCTCACACAACAAGGGTTCAGATTTTCCCCAATTGGCCATTTTTGAAGCAGTCCACAGCTGTGCACTTGTGTTTGGTCATGGCTATAGACTACTTTCTGTGGCCAGGTAAGGTGAACATTGTCTCTTCTGTCTGTACCCCTATAGTTATTAGATACTAGTTTGTCTTTTGATGAAGATATGGGAAAAGCAAAAACTGAATGAATAAAACACAGTTTTGTTTTGTGTTTCTTACAAAAGGTGGGGGGAACAAACCTTTTGGTTTGAGAGAATTGTAGACATCATCATTAATGGAACAGAAATGGTAGTCAATTAAAACTGACTGATACAGTCTAAACAAGCTACATTTTTCTGCAGTTTTAGTTTACCAAAATAATTAGCTTTATGTACATGATCAGTATCATTTTTTGAAAATACATTTCAGAACGACTGACAGAAAACCTGCGTGTGGGACAGACTTCTGTAGTTGCTGCCCAGATGTTTCTCTTTTTCAGAGTTCTGTTGCTAAGAATTTCTCCACAGCATTTAACTTCTTTATGGCCAATTATGGTGACTGAATTGGTAAGTGACAATAGTTGAAATATTACCTTTATTTTCCACACTTTACTAGATTCCTTTCTTCTAAATGTACTTCTTTGCAACTGTAAGTCCTTGTCACAATTTGAAACCAACTTCATATTAGAAAATCTGTAAGGGATCTTGGTGTGATTAGGAAGTGCATTTGATGTTGCTGTTTATTAATAATCTTGTGTAAGAAACTAACTTTTGTTCTAGGCTGATGTGTCTTGTAAGACTTGAGGTTAAAATAAAACTTGCCTATTATTCCTGATTTCATAGGAAGCAGGGGTTTCCTGTAAACAAGCTGGATGTATATCTAAAAATATTCTAAAAATTCCAAAAAGAAGTACCTACTTTTTTTTTCTTTAAGATTCAGACATTTATACAGCTGGAAGATGACTTAACTGAGGAGGATGAACCACCAAAGTAAGAATTGATTCTTTGCAGTTAGTAAACATGGTCCAGATCTTTGTAAGCATGGTGTTTGTGGCTGCCCCAACTGAAATTTCAGAATTTTAAAAATTCACAGTGGCTTATAACTGCACTGGCATTGCATTTCTTAAAAGTCCTGCATTGACATAAATAGGTGTCTTAGGGTAGCTAATTCTGTATTTAAGTTTTGGAAATGAGTATTCACTGCTTACAGAAAAAAGAAGAGCCAAATTAGTACTTGACTAGTTCCCAGGTTTTTTTAAATAGATGTTTAGTTGTTGATTTTTATGTCTCTACTGACATTATTGTGTTCTGAGGGGAAAAAAAAAGAATACAAATTAACCTTTGACGTGTCTAATAGGGCTGTGCAAAGCTTCAGTCGCTGATTCGATTTGGTGGAGATTCAGCCTGATTCAGCAGACTAATCTTCGAATCCAAATCGAATCAGACCCTGTAATCTCTCCAGACAAAATCAGAAGCCTCCAAATTGATTCAGAGAGATTTGACAATTTGGACATAGACACAGCTATAAAAGCTTTTTCTATATACCTCGAGGTACAAGGCATGGCTCGTGAACACTGCAATGGTGGGGTGGATAGAGTGTCCCATGGGAGTGCGGGGGGTCCCCAGCATGCTCAGCGGTGAACCCAGAAGTGGACCAGAAGCACTTCCAGGTACGGCACGGAGCACATGGGGAGCACCACCGCACTCCTGTGGGACTCTCTGTCCGCCCCACCATCTCAGCGTTCACAAGCCACAGCTGGTACCTCGAGGTATGTAGAAAAAACATTTAAAGCTGTGTCTATAGCCGAATTGCTGATTCTCCAAATCAGCATCGAATCTTCAGATTCAGATTAGGCCAATTCGAAGCAGGGACAGTGATCTGAATCAACGAATCAAATCACTGTCCCCTGAATTGGGCCAAATCCAAATCAAATACGGCCCAATTTACACACCCCTAGTGTTTAACCCTCTGCTTGATATAAAATATTTAATGCTTTTTTATGTTGCTTTTCTTCACTGTAAATCAAGTAGGAGCAACAGCAAAGTAAGCAGACAGAAAGCTTCAGGTGATGGCAGTGGCCTTTTAATTGCTGACATCCAGCAGAATGAGCTGTTCTTGTATTTATCAGCTTGTAAGTTCTTGGACACAGCACTTTCTTTTCCACCTGACAAGATGCAGTTATTTCAAATGTGAGTCTTATAGTTGCTTATACTTAGTATCTGGTACTATAGATAATTTACTGTTTGTGTCCCTTCTTTTAAAATGCATAGATGTAATCTATATTTAATTTTGTTGTCCTTCATGATTTAGTACTGTCTGCAATCTTTTGTCATAAGCATGGGGCATATTCTGCTAGGTTCTTGAAAATTATGTAGATATCACACCATGAGAGTATTCGCTGATTTCAGCACAAAAAATTGTCATGGGGGAAGGATACGTGTGGGATGGGAATTCTCCATCATTTCAATATGTAAACACATCTGTGACCACAAAACGCAGCCTTGTATTAGAGTATGCAAAGACAGTTACAATGTTAAAATAATGGGATGAGAGTTGCACTCGATCTGAGCACGCAGCTGTTGTTGTGATCCAACAACAGGACTTCTGTGTATGACTTCTGACCTATACATTTGTTTCAGGTACAGATGGGCCTTTGTCCCAGAAGTGGACACAGAGGCTTGCAGTATGACTTCGCATCTAATAGAAAATCACCAGGAATGTAAACCACACATCATTAGAATCATGGACTTGTTAAAGATGAAATATGGGGTAAAGTATTGCATTATTACATGCATGCTCTCTGTTTACATTAAATATGGTAATTCTGAAGAGTTGTTTTCACTCATTTAAGAAAGCTAGATAGGCAGAGGCCATGTTAGAAAGCTCCTTAAATTTTTAAGACTGATCTTCTTAGATTATAATCCTATTACACTGTATGCAATTTGAGGATTTTGGACAATTAACTGATCCTTTCTGCATTTAACCAGGCAGCACAGTTTGGGGAGGAGGTGAGTAGCCGTCAGTGCTGAAAGAACAGGTTAGGGACTACTTAGAAAAGCTGGACATATACAAGTCCATGGGGCCAGATGGGATGCACGTGAGAGTGCTAAGGAAGGTGGCTGATGTGATTGTAAAGCCATTGGCCATCATCTTTGAAAACTCATGGCAATCAGGAGATTGGAAAAAGGCAAACGTGCCCATATTTAAGAAAGGGAAAAAGGAGGATCCAGGGAACTATAGGGTGGCCTTGCCTCAGTCCCTGGAAAAATAATAGTTTCATAGTTTCTAGGGTCGGAAGGGACCTGAGTAGATCATATAGTCCGACCCCCTGCCATGGCAGGAAATAGTACTGGGGTCAAACGACCCCAGCAAGGTGTTCATCTAACCTCCTCTTAAAAACCCCCAGGGTAGGAACCTGCACCACTTCTCTTGGAAGTTTGTTCCAGATCCTAGCCGCCCTGACCGTGAAGTAGCACCTCCTGATATCTAACCTAAACCTACCCTCTGCCAGCTTGTGACCGTTATTCCTGGTCATTCCTGGCAGAGCTCGGGGGAACAGTGACTCCCCCAATGCCTGTTGATCCCCCCTGACTAGTTTATAACAGGCCACAAGATCCCCCCTCAGCCTTCTCTTTTGGAGGCTGAACAGGTTCAGGTCCC